TTCTGTCTCCATAGCTGCGAAGAAGGAAGAATTGTAAAAATTGGAATTTTAATAAAGACAAAAAGTTTAAGCATGTGTAAATCACCAAACCTGAAAGCGATTTGACTTGAGGGACAAGAGCAGGCTTCAGCCTCGAGGAAGCATCTCGAGATTCAGAATCTCCACCTTTAGGGGATGTACTCCTAGCAGTCTTTTCGCTGACGGGCTGGGAAGAAGAAGACATGTCAACAGGACGGGGAGGACCCATTGGTTCAGTAGGAGGAGAGGATCGAGGTGAACGGTCAGTCCGAGGCCTTGATTTCTCCCTTCGCGGAGACAAGTCATCACGGGACGACTTGTCCCTCTTCTTACGAACCAAATTTTTAAGTGGTTCGTTGCTAAAATCGTCTCGGGGAGGACGGGGAGAATCACGACGAGGAGACCGCTCTCTCCGAGGAGACCGCTCTCTCCGAGGAGACCGCTCTCTCCGAGGAGAACGCTCGTCGCGGCGCTCGCGGCGAGGTGTTAGCCTATAAGCAGCAACAGATCTGGCTCCCTCGGAGCTGTTGTCATCAACCAGCAGGGTTCTGCTGTAAACTTTTTTGTCAATGGCGGTCGCAAGGAACGCCTTGTTTTCATCACAAGCCTCTGCTATCGGCTTGGAGAGCTTCTTACGCTGGGCAGCGAGGGCCCGAGCTGACATTCCCTGAGTTGGGGGAGGAGGCGGAAGACGATGAAGTAGATTGGGAGGACTCATCCTGAGTTTCCGGTTAGCCTTGACAAACCGGTCGAGGGTGAAAGAATTCCAAAGGGTTTCCCCTTCAAGGATTGTTTTGAAGAACTTGACAAATTCTTCGGTCGGGAGAGTTGAAGCGATGAAAGCTGCGAAATGAAACAACGAATTCGGTCAGTAAAAAAATAATAATAAACAATAAAGGAATATACGACCTAGTCTCTACCAGGTTTCGCAGACCACTTCGATGGGAGTACATCGGAAAGATTCCCAATCGAAGCGGGAGTTTTCTTAATCAAAAACCAAGGATGGTGCCAGTTCTCATCCTTGTTCGGGAGGTGCGAGATGACGTTTCTATTGGCATTTGGATACGCTGAGAAGTACCCAGTTTTCTTTGATGAACTCCTTACGCTTAGGAGTTCATTCAGCTCGGGGACTCCAATGACGTAGCCGGCCTCCGCCGTAACGGTTATAATCCCGAGGATGGTTCGGAGGAGATTGGGGGTTAATTGAGGTAAAGCGATCTCGAGAGCCGCCAAGAATCGAACTAGGGCTTCAGGAAGGGGGAAGGTCAATCCGCAGCCCTTGAAGTAAATTTCGTAGACGCAAAAATAGCCGGCACGGTGGTTCTCAGGAGATTCCGTAGGGTCAGCTATTTGCGCCTCCGCTATAATTCCAGGAGGAATTTGACAAAGCCCCTTCAATCGCTCGAGGGATTGAAGAGTACAGGTGGATTTGTAATGAGGACCGGCGATGTCGTTAGGACGAGTGCATTCGTCGTTACTAGAACGCCTCTCGTCGTAAGACGGAGATTCAGGTCTTTCAGAATCAGAAGTCATCGAATAAAAATTCAAGATCCGGCGAGGAGAGATTTTTTGTGAAGAAGAAAAGAGAGAGTTTTTTGATTAAAGTACAAAAGAAAAAGAAGAGAGTAATGGTGAAAAGAAGTTACCTCAAGCTAATGATGAAACCGCCTCGGAAGTCGTGTGGGAAGTGGGAAGGTTTTTCCCGTTTTAATAGTAATTAAACGATATATGGTCATAATGATGACAGATGTCACTCAGCTAAAAAAGGCTAGTGCCGAAATTAAAGGAGTGATGAGATTTTCGGCGGGAAATCAGAAAGATTCTCGAGCGCAATCTTTGGCTATTTGAGCATTTAAAGTCCTCCGAATTGGAATAGCACTTCGAAGAACTTGGGGGGCTAATTGTTGGTGTCGGATCCCGCACCAGAAGTACGAGACCAACCAAAGATTGCCACGTAGTCAAGATAATAGGCCCAAAAAGAATGAAGCTCATCGGACCCAGGAGTCGAAGGGACGGTCGAAGTGGTTGTCACCACTTTGACCATCCGAAGTGATTACATTGCGACATGAGTTCGATGAAGAAGGCATGGGTAAGATGGTTCAAGGATATTTGGGCCAGAAAGGCGAGGCCCGCGAAGATCAGAGTCAACTCAAATTCAAACGTTGAGCATTAAAGTCGAAGAATCAAAACGGACACATTTAAGAGGAAATAACTGTACTTAATTATTCATTTTAATGACAATTCTCTATGTATAAATATAAAGGCCAATGGCCATGTAATGGGGGATCCTCCTAAAAAGAGAGAAATACTATAGCAATTTTCGTATCAATTTATAAGTTTTTACATATTCATTTTTGTCCCTCAAGAATAATCTTTCCCACTTAACAAAAATACTTGAGTGTGTGAATCCGACATCCACAAATCATTCCAATGTTATGAACATGTTTTCTGAACATAGAGGTGGGCAATGATTTTGTGAAGAGATCCGCAGAATTCTTGGATGATTGGACATATCTTACTTCAATGTCTTTATTCTTCACGAGCTCTTGGGTGTATGAAAAGAACTTCGGAGGGATATGTTTGGTTCTATCGCTTTTGATAAATCCTTCATTTGTCTGAGCAACACATGCAGCATTGTCTTCATACAAGATAGTTGGCTCCGTTTTTAGACGAATTCCACTACTTGTTTGAATGTGTTGACTTATCGATCGTAGCCATACGCATTCTCTACTCGCTTCATGGAGTGCGATGATTTCAGCATGATTTGAAGAAGTAGCTACAAGCGTCTGCTCCTGAGAACGCCATGATATAGCAGTACCTCCAATCGTGAACACGTATCCTGTTTGTGATCGAGCTTTGTGTGGGTCTGATAAATAGCCTGCATCTGCAAAACCAATCATTTGACCATTTATATTTTTAGGATAAAATAACCCTAAATCAATAGTCCCTTGAAGATAACGAAAGACATGTTTAACCCCATTCCAATGTCTTCGGGTAGGGGATGAACTAAATCTAGCCAAAAGATTGACTGAAAAAGATATATCAGGTCGAGTGCAATTTGCAAGATACATAAGGGCTCCAATTGCACTTAGATACGATACTTCAGGACCGAGTATCTCTTCATTCTCCTCAGGTGGTCTGAATGGATCACTCTCAACATTAAGTGATCTAACGACCATTGGAGTACTGAGAGGAGTTGCCTTATCCATATTAAAACGTTTTAACACTCTTTTGGTGTATATGGATTGATGAACTAATATACCCTTTTGAGTATGTTCAATTTGTAGGCCAAGACAAAATTTTGTTTGTTCGAGATCTTTCATCTCAAATTCCCCTTTTAAATAGTTTGTTGCTTTCTGTATTTCTGCTTGAGTCCCGATTATGTTTAGATCATCAACATATACCGCGATTATCACAAATCCGGAATTTGTTTTCTTTATGAAAACACATGGGCATATAGGATCATTCACATATCCTTCTTTCGTTAAATGCTCACTGAGACGATTATACCACATTCGTCCAGATTGCTTTAACCCATATAATGCTCTCTGCAACTTTATTGCACATAACTCTTTGGGTTTAGATTTTAATGCTTTTGGCATATTAAACCCATCGGAAACTCTCATATAGATATCTGTATCCAATGATCCATATAAATATGCTGTAACGACATCCATGAGACGCATCTCTAGATTTTTGCCAGCTGCTAGACTCATCAGAAATCTAAATGTTATAGCATCCATAACGGGGGAATATATTTCCTCATAATCAATCTCGGGTCTTTGAGAAAATCCTTGAGCTACGAGACGAGCCTTGTATCTCGTAATTTCATTTTTCTCATTTCGTTTTCTAACGAAAACCCATTTGTATCCAACCGGTCTCACATCTTCAGGTGTGAGTACAATAGGTCCGAATACATTTCGCTTATTTAGCGAATCAAGTTCGACTTGTACTGCATCTTTCCATTTTATCCAGTCATGTCTCTTTTGACATTCATATACAGACTTTGGTTCTGGATCCTCGTTTTCCTCATCAATTTCCTTTGACAAAAGGTATGAGAAAACGTCATTAATATCATCCATTTTATTTCGATCCCAGATCTTTCCATTATGTATATAGTTGATAGAAATCTCATGATTTCCTTCAGGCTCATGATGCTCATCATTGTCATTAGACTCATGATTCGTTTCTTCCAAAATGCTTTCTGCTATTTTGGGAATATCATGCTTTTCAACTTCCTTTCGTTTTCTAGGATTTTTATCCTTAGCACCAACTGGTCTACCACGTTTCAAGCGTGTTTTAGACTCACGTGTATCATCTGCTCCTCCACGTTCTTATGGTATTTTAATTCGAGCAGGAACATTTGCAGCTGGTATATATGATTTAGTTACCGTTTTGGTATCTGCAAAAGCATCGGGAAGTTGATTTGCTATACTTTGCAAATGCACAATTCGTCGAACTTCTATTTCTGACTGTTTTGTAGGAGGATCAAGGTGTAACAGGGATGGTACACACCATTTGATTTCTTTTCCTACTTGCTTATTTTCTCCCCCTAGAACCGGAAATACTTTCTCATCAAAGTGACAATCGGCAAATCGTGCCGTAAAGACATCACCAGTCTGCGGTTCTAGGTATCTTATAATTGATGGAGAATCACAGCCAATATATATTCCCAACCTTCTTTGTGGTCATATCTTTGTACGTTGTGGTGGTGCTATAGGCACATACACCGCACAACCAAAAATTCTTAGATGAGATATATTTGGTTCTCGACCAAATGCTAACTGTAGTGGGAAGTATTTATGGTATGCACTTGGTCTTATCCGAATAAGTGCTTCTGCATGCAAAATGGCATGTCCCCATACAGAGGTTGGAAGTTTTGATCTCATGATCAATGGTCTTGCAAGCAATTGCAGACGTTTAATTAATGATTCCGCCAAGCCATTTTGTGTATGAACATGAGCTACAGGATGTTCAACCACTACAAAAAAAGTGAGCATTGATAGCAGTTCACAATAGCACGGTTTCACTAATTGCTATGAATGATTGATTTGAGATTTTGATTTTGAATAATTTCTATCAATAGCATTTAATAAACGCTATAATAGAAAATCAATAAGCGAGAAGTTAAAATCACGTATTCCGTCAATACTTAGCCAAAAAATTTAGATAGCCGCGAACACTTTAGCTTTTCTTCTTTTCTCAAAGACCTAAACAAATTATCTCAGAGACTAGAAAAAAAAAAAACTCTTAGGCTCACTAACAAATCTCGTCGCTTCCACCGTTGAAGCTAGTTGCAGCCTCTTCCTCTATCCTCGCCGTCACCGCCACTGTGGCTGACCGTCTCTCCCCACCCTCCTCCTCCAGTTCCCTTTCTCTCGAATCAACTCAGCCAAACCCTGACTCCCCTCCAATGGCTTCCGCCGCTGCCGCCACCACCAAATTAAACAGACGCAACCGAAACCCCACATCTCCTCCTATCAATCCCGATCTATTTCTCACGATGAAGTTTCAATCTACCGTGGAGGAGAATCGCTTTGGGAACAGAGAAGATGAATTCAAGTAGAGAAAGGGATGATTCGAAGAGTTTTAGATCGGGAAGTAGAGAGAGAGAGGACATGGTAATGGTGGTGATGGACGGATTAATATACTTCGATAAGTAGAGATTCAGTGACTCTTCTTCTTCTCCTTCTTCATCCTCGCAAAATGGTAAGCCATCTCAATTAGGGATTTTAGCTTTCTTTAATTTGGAAATTGGAAAACCAAAAAGGTATTCTTCATTAGGAGAAAATTGTAAACTGTAAGCTTCAAATCCAAAAAGAAAACTCTTTGTATCTAGAGATGGAGCTCGTGTGTGAAACTCTTTCTATTAAATTATCATTTTGATTGCTAAAGTGTTGCAGCTGGAGCTTGTACGATTTGAGAGAGACTTGTTGAATATCTCGAGTGGTGGAACCGTAAAAAAATGTAAGATAACTTCAATTCTAAGTTCTAACACATGATGTGTCTATATTTGCTCTTCGGATTTAGTAACTTCATTTATTTGAACTTTTTGGTGTAGGTAAATGAACAATAGGAAGCAAGCTGCGAAAGAGAATGCTCGTAATGAAAATAAGAAAGTCGTGTCTTCACCTACACAGCTACACCTGTTGAAAAGCCTGAAGCTCCTGAGACATGCACTAGTAGTCCAACATGAGATTAGTCGGAGAGAAGTGAATCAAAAGATTCTGATGATTTAATGTGATTTTATTATTTAAAGGAGAGGATTTTGGAAGGTACTTTCTTGTTACTGCTAGCCTTTTGTGTTTGATTTCTTATTTTGCAGCTTGTATAAGGGTCTTGCTCCACGTTGGCTGTGAAGTTGATGATCTTCAGGTTTGGCTACACATTGTCTATTTGAATTTTAGTGCTGGTTAATTTCTCTGTTTGATAGTATGGATTTTTTGTGGATGACTTGATGGTTGGCAAAATAAAGAACAAGGAAGGATAATTCAGGTGCTTTTGATATTTCTAACATCTTAATTAGTTTTACATTTTGATAAAAACATAGGTTGTTTTTTGTAGATATGTATTCTCTTTGTGATATGTAGAGATCAGTTTATAAGACAAGTGGAAATAATGTTAAGACTTTGCTACTCCAAATACCTTTGCTTTAATGTTATTACAGATAGATGAGCAGAATATACAAGAACAGGTAGTGGAAATCAATTCTTCTTCATCTTTAGGAGCTGTTAAGAAAGGGGTGGGACATGTTGAGGACGAATGCTCACGAAAGAGGTAGTCTTTTAAGAATATAAATACCTTGCTCTTTTCTTTTCTTTATTCTGATGATTTTAAAACTGTTGTGTTTTCTATGGTGTGGTGTGTTTACTTTAGGTAGAACTATTTGCAACTAATGATTTCACCATGTTTTGTGATCTCGTTATTTGGTTTATATACATGGATTAGTTTAGCATCCTCTCTGTTTAATATTATTACCATGAGCTTCATCACCACTATTGGGTTTGAATCTCTTTACCATGTAAAAAAATTAGAGACTTGATATATGTATGAGTTATCTCTTTATTTTCTTCTAGATGTCTCTCTGAGTTTGTTAAATTTTTGGCGTTTGATGCAGCATTGATTTTAAGATAAAAACTATTGAGGAAACAAGATTGAAGACTGTGATATATGTTGATGCTTTTGTACACATGCTTACAGAGATTATGGACGGGGATGATATGGGAAGGCGAAACATATAAATGAGATTGAAGTTTATCTTTATGATGTTAGCTTTATTTTGTTTAAAACTTTGTATGATGTTATGTAAAAAATTGTTAATGTAGTAATACTTTTATGTATTTTGATGATTTATGAAAAAATAAAATTTATAGTATAAATCCAATTAAATTTATTTTACAAAACAGGATTTAAATATAATAATAATATATAAATTAAATTAAATATATATATATATATATATATATATATCAAATAGAAATATGCTACAATACAATATAAAATAACACTAAATGTGTGCTATAATATAGTATATTGCAGCATTCTATTACCGCTATAATTGAACGATCTATAATTGCATGTCAGAAAACGCTATCGTATGGGTGTCCTCTACCATAGCTGCCGAGAACATAGCGTTTGTGAATTCGCTATCTATAACGTAAGATAGCATATTTTTAGCGCTAACAATGAACAAATTTCTTGTAGTGAACTTCAATTCCTGTTACCATACAATAATCATTGAATGCTTGGGATGTGAATTCACCAGCGTTGTCTAGTCTAACCCTCTTAATGGAATAATCAGAGAACTGAGCTCTTAATTTGATTATCTGAGTTATAAATCTCGCAAATGCCAAATTTCGAGATGACAATAGACAAACATGTGACCATCTGCTAGATGCGTCAATCATTACCATAAAATAGTGGAATGGTCCACATGGTGGATGTATCGGTCCACAAATATCGCCTTGAATTCGTTCAAGGAACTTTGGTGATTCTTTATCAATTTTGGTTGGCGATGGCCTTATGATCAACTTTCCAAGAGAACACGCTGCACATGTCATTTTATTTCCATGTTTCAACTCATCATTTTTCAATGAGTGACCATGTGAGCTCTCTATGATTTTTCGCATCATTGTGGTGCCTGGGTGACCAAGGCGATTATGCCATAGTAAGAAATTTTCTGGATTTCTTTTGATCACAAGGTTTGACTCTATGGCATCTATATAGGTATGATGCAAACCAGAAGGAAGTTCTGGAAATCTTTCCAAGATATGTCTTTTTCCAGATTTATTAGAAGTTATATACATATACTTCTTTCCATCATCAGTTGCAGACTGAGTTTCATATCCTTGAAGGTATATGTCTTTGAAACTCAACAAATTCCTCTTAGAATTCGGAGAATATAAGGCATTATTTATGGAAAACTTTGTTCCATTAGGCAATTTAAAATTTGCTTTGCCACTTCCTTCAATCAAATCCGTAGGACCCGATATTGTATTTACAATAATTTTTGTCGGTTTTAATTCAGAGAAAAATCTCTGATGTTTCAGAATAGTGTGTGTTGCTCCACTATATGGTATACAAATTTCTTTGATATTTTCCCTTGCTATCGCTTTGTTTGAATCTTGATCCATTTTTTTCTGTAATTAACATAAACATTAATAAATATAAGTAAATATTATTGATGTTAAACATATAATAATTATACATCAGTTCATTTTTCAGAAACAACATTATTTTAGAACAACTGAAATACATAATAATTATACAATAGCATTACTGGAGACTAGTAGTCTCACTACAAGCATTTCAGTTATCCGCATGAGCGGTCTCGTTGACATCGTTTATAAAGTCGGAAGCTTCGAGGTACGATGTACCCTCAAAGTGCTCAGTAAGATTTACTTCCTTCCCTTTTCCCTTTTGGGACTCTTTGTACAACTTACAAAGATGTTCAGGGGTTCAACATACATGAGCCCAATGCCCTTTTGATCCACATCTGTAACAGATGCTTTCACGCTTTTGAGCGTTACGTCCTTGGGATTCTTTTCCTTTTGAACTTTGATCAGGTCGAACCCATGTATAAGACTTTCTGCTTTGTGGGTTAAAGGATCTTCCACGTCCACGATTGAATCGACGACCACGACCTCGATAGGTTTGACTTCCTCTCTCCGGATTTTTTACATCCGTTGCATTGACCTCAGGAAATGCTTTGGCCCCCGTAGGCCGAGAGTTGTGGTTCTTAAGAAGAAGTTCATTATTCTTCTCCGCCAGTATGAGAGTCACAATTAACTCAGAGAACCTTTTGTATCCGCAATTTCTATACATCTCTTGCAAGACACGGTGTTCTTTATGAAAAGTAAGGTAAGTCTTCTCGAGCATTTCAGTTTCAGTAATAGGCTTTCCACAATACTTTAATTGTGATACTATCCTCAGCATAGCGGAATTATATTCCTCCACTTTCTCAAAGTCTTGGAACCTTAAGTTTTTCCAGTCCTCTAACGCATGAGGGAGAGTTATTTCTCTCTGGTTGTCAAACCGTGCTTTTAAAGCTTGCCACAGCTCTGCTGGGTCTTTTATGTGAGCATAGTCATGCGTCACATTTTCATCGAGTTGCTTTCTTAAAAATATTATCGCCTTTGCCTTATCTTTTGGAGGCGATAAATTTTCCGATTTTAAGGTCTCGGATAATTCTTGCGACTCAAAATATAGTTCACATCAGTGGTCCATGCTATGTAGTTTGCGCCAGTAATTTTGAGAGCCGAAAATTTAAGCTTCTCAATGTTTGCCATTTGTTATCTAAAATAAAAACATGGAATATTATTAGAAATCTTTATTTAATTTATTTTAAAACATATTTAAAATGAACCGTTTACATTAATAATGCAAGCGATTACAAAAAGAAAAAGCGTACAAACAAGTAAACTAATGTTCAAACGAAATTCCTTGCGGAGTAAAATCTACAACGCAAAGATTATAAATACACAAAATAATGATTCCAAAAGCAAATATTAAAAGTAATCGAAACATTCTTCAAAACTTCAAAACTTCAAAATTCTTTTTTTTTTTTTTTCTCGGAGAGAGTTTTTAGAGATATGAAAAATTTTGTTTTGATGAAATGAATGAGAAAATGAATGTATTTATAGATTGAAAAATACTATTCCTAGCCGTTGGAAAAAGTTGAATTTTTGAAAAAATTTTGAAATTTTTCTTTGAGACCGTTGGCGAAAATATTTAAATAGGAAATCAATGTGTAAATTTTAATAGCCAATCAGTTAAATTTACTAAATTCAGATAATAGGTTTTTATACAGGTGGCCGAGCCTCCTTATATATTAACCAAAATATAAGTATAACAGAAATAAATTTTAACGGCAATAAGTTAAACCAGTTAATTAACGAATTCAGATAATAGGTTTTTATACAGGTGGTCGAGCCTCCTTATATATTAACCAAAGAATAAATATAACAGAAATAAATTTTAACGGCAATAAGTTAAAGCAGTAAATTAAAGAATTCAGATAATAGGTTTTTATACAGGTGGCCGAACCTCCTTATATATTAACCAAAGAATAAATATAACAGAAATAAATTTTAACGGCAATAAATTAAAGCAGTAAATTAATTATGATGCGTTAATCAACCATAGAAAAGCATTATATTTATAAAGGGGCGGCAGTGCCGCGCTCCGATAATAAAGTAAATCGACGTAGTAGAGTATTCTTATCTTTTCCTTTACTCATATATTTTTTTTTTCTTTCTTTTTTTTTTTTTTTTTTAACGAGGCGACATACCGCCCGGTATAATACCGTATTTTTTTTTCAGCGAACATAGAGTGATCGTGCTGATAACGTGTTATAATTAAGAAAAATAATGTATCGTAAATTTTCTATCGATCATTTATGTTGAAAATGGTATAATAATAAAATTATTTAAAGAGATAGAAATATAAGGGAGAGAGTAATAATGTGGGAATAAACTATACATTTCTTTGTTAAGTGAATCAATGGTGTATCTTACAATGGAGTGGAAGAGCATATTTATAGTACCAAATAATTTTACCAAAACATTCCACTACTCCAAACCATTCCACTACTCCAAACCATTCCACTACTTTATGGTAGTGATTGAATGACTTATGAGCTCCATTCCACTATTCAAAAGTTTGATTTTTGTAACAGGATCATAGTTATTTTGAAACAAAAAGTTTATTTTTCTGGTATTTATTTAATTTATGTTTCTAATTTAGGTATTGAATAATATTTTCCAACGTTTGAGGCATCCATGTAGTTGGGACGTGAGGTCATCGCGAAATGAATGCAGTCACTCTCTCCCATCTGTCATCCATGTGATATTAAAAAAAAAAAAAAATCCCTAAAAAGAAGGTGACACAATCTTGAACTAATTTCTTTGTTAATTTTTACTATTACATACATTATTGTTCGGAAGATTTACTGGCCTTGAATGGGTGATGTAAAAAAAAAGTGGTTCTACAACGGTTCGGGTGAACCGTGTCCTTATCTCCCATTCATCATTTAGAATTATGTAAGTTGCGTTTCTTTTCTTTTAATAATAAAGAATTAGTGAACCACTAGTGGTTCAGTTTTATGAAGAAAAATTTGAGTTCTGTTATGTACAGTAGAAACACATCTATTACCCAGCGTTTCTGTTGAAAAATGGTTCTCCTGTTTTTTTTTTTTAAATTATTTGTTTTGTTTCTTTTGTATAATATTAAAAACTAAACAATTTCAGTTAAAACAAATTATTATTTAGATGCAAAAGTTAGTCCTACGATTGATTTATCTCTGACATCATCATGAGATTGATTTTTTTTCTTTTTCTAAAATTAAATCTTTTGTGATTTCTAAATTATAAATATAACAATAAAACCATGTAACTTTATATGATAAACTTTTGGTTGGAATTGTAGATTATAATTCAAATGTTGTAATATTTACAATTTCATTTGATTATTTGTATAGAAAACATTAAATAATATTTTATTTTTACTTGAATTCCAAATATAATATTTTTACTTTCATTATCTTATTTATTTTTAGTGAGAAAATATTTTATCCAAAATTGAAAATAATTTATAAATATTTTAGTGTTTTTATAAATATTTTTAAATACATATACAATAATATGTCAAACTAGTATAACAAATTTATTTTAGTATGATTGTTTTTAGTATGATTATTTTAATGTGATTGTTTTTAGTATTACAAATTTATTTTAATATGATTATTTTAAATATTTCATCTGTACTGCATGATCCATTTTCACCATTCAACACATATTTAAAGCGTTTGAACCGCTTGATTCGCCAAATCTGCTTGATCCGCTTTTGTTCTGCTTGATACGCTTGATCCGCTTGATCCTCTCCGCCCGATCCGCTTTCTCCATTCAGAGCCACTATTTACAATTGACAAAATACGGTTTCCTAAAATGTAGCAAGTACTAAACAAGTTATTTAAATAAGCTAATTATTTTGTTGTGTCTTTGTAAAAAGTGTATATCTAGAGGTGTCAAATACAAATCCTATAATGTTGATATTTTATAAATGATGTAATTTTGTAGACAAAAAAATCACTAATATTATTTTGTCAACTACTAGTATATATTTAGTAAAGGTAAATAACAAAATTACAAAAGAAAACAAAAAGTCCTATACCTTTTGTAACTAACAAAAAAAGATTTAAACACGTGAAAAGTTTTTTTGCTTAAAAACATGATTAAGAACCAGTACTAGTACTAGTGAGGTGTTCAAAAAAAAAAAAAAAACCAGTACTAGTGCTCAACGGCCAAGTCAAAATAAACAAATCACCATCAATAATTTATATAAGCAAAGGAATCACCATTTATATATGTTGAAGGGAGGAAGAAGGAGACAAAGACGACCCCAACATCTATCACCTTCTCTATAGATAGATCTCAGAATCTCTCCTTTTTTGTTCGCTTTTCTCTTTATTTGGCCATTCCTGTCTTCCACTTTGTCATCTTTTCCCTTTTCTGATGGGATCCGCCGCCGAACTCACGGAGCCCACCACCGGGACCGAGAAGCACCAGCAGCCTATAGGAGTGGAAGAAGAAGACGAACAAATTGTCGACTTGGAGAGGAAAACATTTCGTCATGGAAAGAGACACGATACTAGTTTAGACAGTAGTACAATCACCAGTACCACCAACACCAGCTCGGCCTCTTCTAGCTTTTCCGGTGATGGTACGGAAGAGACTCCCGATTTCCACAGCAACGGCCAAGGAGAACATACCGCACTAGTTAATTTGGAGCTAGAAACTGAAGTCGGACTTCACGAAGAGCATAACGGCGGGAACAATTGCATCGTCTTCTTCGACGAAGAACAAGGTTAGCTCTTAGTCACTAAACCTTCGAGCTGTTTTCTTATGGATTAGTTGCAGAAATATTTCCCTTTTTGGAGCTGAATCTATCATCTCTTTTGCATCGATTATGTGCTCGCTCTTGTTTCCAAAACTTCAAATCAAGTAGAGTAATTAGCTGGTCTAGTAATCCTGCAATTATCACCTGAAGGTATCTAGCATTTGGGGATTGAGTTGTAGGATAGATTTTCTGATAGTTTCTTCTGGTTCTGGTGGTGAAGTCCTTGTCATGTTTTGTTGTTTGTATATGAAGGATTTTGGATATGTCGCCACTGCGATTGGACCTACAAAGAGGGATCTTTGTTATGCAAAGGTCAGTCCAGTGTTAGGCTTACTTGGACCAACAATTTTTTTAGCAGCAAATTCATTAGATCTCTTTCTTAGTTTAGCTGTATTTTCTGGAAACGTGTTGTCTATTTAACCATTTAGTGTTTTTTTTTCGGTTGGAGATGTCATCATCATATAATTGATTTTCTGGTTAATTAATGCTTGTTTGTTGTTCTTTTGCTAGGTTCTGAGTCAGCTGGTGCAGAACATGATGCTCATGAATCTCAAACTGCTGACTTGAATGGGGAGGAAAAGCAGTTAGAACCTGAAAACGATTCAACTTCTGAGGATAACAAAAGCTCTCGTGAAATCGAAGAAGTACAGGATGGTGATGTCTCTAAAGACCGGGATGCTGTTGATCAACCTGCTGGTGATGTGATAGAGGAGGAGGTGGACATCGAAGATGTTGAAGATTTTGATGTGGAGAATGTGCTGGATAAGCAAGAGACACATGATTTGTTCTGTCCAAACTGCGATTCTTGCATCACCAAAAGAGTTGTCCTCAAAAGAAGAAAACGGAGGGTCTGCCATGAGCTGGGAGATTCAAAGCGCGTGAGAGGGCCTCATTGGACTGAGCCTCTTCTTCATTCGGAAGACAATGTGCTATCTCTAGGTGGTGGTGAAAACTCTGCAAATGAATCATTTCTGTTCAAGTGCTTGTCATGCTTTACCATATTTATTCCCAAAGGTAAACTAGACTGTAACAGTTTCTTTGATACTTGAAAACTGAAATTTCAGATCCCATCCCTTCTTGTATTCAAAGCATGCTTTCCTTTTCTGGGAAACATTTGCAGGGGTGGCTTCAAAGCCGATTCCTCCCCGTGAAGGTGTCGAGGGGTTAAAAATTCAGCCAAACCCTCAAGAGGAAGCTACAGGCGATTCCAATTGGTTCAATTCAATATTCGGCTTTAACAAAAAAGAATCAGCTGTTCAGCAAGGTATTGTTTGTTTCCTTTGCCAGTGTATCAATCGATTCATGTTTTAGACATTCCGTTCTTTTCGTGGCTACTTTGGTGTCTAGTAGAATTAAATTTGCAATGTCTCTCCTTTTATACTCACTATGATATGATGCTGAAGGAGGTTTGTAACATTTTAGCATTAGAAGTTTATAACTAAATGTTTTTGTTTTCTGTTTTCAGGTGGGGCATCATCTAGTGTCCCGGTAGCTAATCCGCCTCGTGAGTCTAGTGTCCCAGTAGTTAATCCACCGCGTGGTAACCTAAGTCCTTTGGGAAAGGATACGATAGGCTCTACTTCAAATAACCCATCAAAAGCCCCAGCCGTTGTTCAGCGTGATGCAGCCACTTCGATTCAAGGTAAGGGGACATTCTCTTTTTTAACGACAGTTAATGCAACAAAAATGGTAATTTTCCATTAGTAGATCATGAACTAAATAATTAAAGGTAAAATCTCTAAAAAGTTACATGGAATATGGTAATAAGTAGGTGGATATGGATGTCTCTAAAAAATGGAGATAAGAAAGATTCTTCTACAATTTTTTTACCCTTGGTTCTTAGCTAAACTTTTTGAAAACGTCGTTGTGCAGATGGATCAGAGATCAGTGCTTTTCAAGATATAAAGCCTGTTGACACCCCTTCGATTCAAGGTACATATAAGCAATGTCACACTTAGAAAGTGGAACCCATGTTCGTGTGTTGTGTAGTTTGAGCTTTTGACGCTGAGAAGCAACTTTAATAAAAATAAAACGTGATAGCCAATCCTTCTTCTTTTATTTAGCTTCTGCGTCTCTCGTTTGACTATTAAAAACTCCAGCACTATTTTCTAATATGATGGCAGTTGCAAAATCAAACGATACAAGCAAAGTTGTCAACAATGGAGTGATTGTTGAAGACGGGCAAAAGTTTCTGGCTCCTACGGCGGAGGAGCAAACACAGCAAAAGATTGACAATGATGATTCTAGTCCAGCAGACGGGAAGCACACGTCAGACAAAGGACGTCTCTCCCCAATTCAACCATCTCATGGCATGAGTATATTAAACACAGTGACTAACAGACCCGGCGGATTTAGAGTAGAAACTACATTTCACGAAGAAGGTGCCCCTCTTCTGTTTGAAGGAAAAGACACTTCTGACACAAGAAAGCCAGATTTTGGTCTGACCAAAATAACAGGTAATCTTAATTCTGTTTATAATGGTGCGAAAATCATATTCATAGCTTCAGTGCCAAATACATAGAATAAAACCGGTTTCTGTCTCTCCTTTGTTTGAAGATGAATTTCTTAACGTTCTGTCTAGTCATTCTTATTCATACCTTGCGAACTTTCCGCTTCTGTTTAGGTGTGATGGACACAGGTGACAGAGGAGTTATCACCAGTCCAGCAAATCCTGAAATTGATATTTCACCAGGGAATTTGCTGGAAGAAGGGTCTCTAAGAGAACCGTTAATGAGACGAGTCGTTGTTCAAGGACGTAAACTGGAAATCTTGAAAAGCATTGTCTACGGAGGTCTACTAGAAGCCATCACAAGCCTTGGTGTTATTTCATCCGCCGCTGGTTCTGGTGCTTCAATGTGTAAGTACCACTTAGCCCTAGCTATCCGTTTCCATTTGTGAAACACAAAACACATTTTTCGTTGCTTGAAAATCTAAATATTGCTTGAAGATCTCAACACATGTTTGTATCGTTGTGGTTGCAGTGAATATTCTGGTCTTGGGACTTGCAAATTTGATTGGCGGGCTTATTCTCATTGTTCATAATGTGAGTGATCAATCCATCTTTCGTAATCTGATGCATAAACTTGGTAATGAACCGCGTAACTCGCAAGTTCAAGAAACTTACAGAAAAACTTCTTCTGCAGCTCCAAGAACTTAGAGAGGAGGAACCCATAAGAACAACAACAGAGGATAACCAGACTAACGGTCGAGAAGAAGAAGAAGGTCGGTATAAGCGACTCCTTGGCAGAAGAGAAAATTTCACGCTTCACGCAACAGTCGCAATCTTATCCTTCATAATCGTCGGAATACTCCCTCCTGTAGTCTACTATTTCTCATTCAGCGAAAAACACAACAAAGACTACAAAGTGGCATCAGTTTTCGGGGCATCTCTATCCTGCATAGTCTTGCTCGCCATAGCCAAAGCTCATGTGAAGTACCCGAGAGGCAGCTACCTGAAGAGCATTCTGTACTACGCGACAATCGCTGTATCTGTGTCGGGGATTTCTTACGTGGTTGGTAACTTTCTGGAACATTTGCTTAGGAAGTATGGATGGTCTGATGGATCAGAAACTCCGGTGGGACAGATGATGCTTTCATCACTTATGGGAAGAAAAGCCGGCTTAGGATACTCATCATCGTACTGAAACTGAATCTTGTCTGGAGAAGGATCCAACCTCTTGCTGCTTTTCTCTTTCACTCTGCTTTTGTGAGCCCTCGTTAGACTTTTGTTGATGCCAAATCTTTGTTGTGAGTGTAGAAATCGTTTCCACTTGTAGAAAACTAATAAGCAGAAAATAATAAATGATGGACGACCTGTTGTTCCTTCTAATAAGTTTTTTTTTTATTTTCATTAAATTAAAAACACGAAAAAGAAGGTTCTACCGAGAATTGAACTCGGGTTACTGGATTCAGAGTCCAATGTCCTAACCGCTAGACCATAGAACCATTTGTTAACACTTCTGATAAAACAATATATATATCTAATAAGTATTATCCTGTCTTTGCCGTAAAAGTACGGTTCCGTTGCTAAAGGACATCGGTTACGTACGCAGCGGGTTTGGACCAATCACTAATGGCTATAGCCAATCCCAATTGGTTGTGGGTTAAATGCGAGTTTCCTTTTGAAGAAAAAGAATTTGGCAGATAATGTTATAACCGTCAGATTCAAATTCGAATTAAAGGGAGCCTTAGCATCTGAACGGTTCAGATTTGATCTCTCTTCGTTTTTTTTTTTTCTCTCTCTCTCTCTCGGTTTCAGAGAAGATCAAAAGATTCAAAAGAAGCCAACGAAGAAAATAAAACACCGCTTTTGCAGAATCGAATCGGTGACGATAGAAAGAGAAAGAGAGAAAGACAGGGAAGGGTTGGAGTCACACAGGGGCTATTTGGATTTCCCTGGAAAATTTTCAGATTTTTGTTCTTTCATCTTCTCTCCTTTTTTCTCTCTTTCTCGTTTTTTTACCAGATTTGTCTTACGAATCCATTCTCAAAGATACCCAAAAGTGGTAGGGAAGCAAAGTACTGTTTTTTGCTTTTGATTTTATTAAAATCGGTGGTGAAAGAAAGGAATATTTTTATTTTCCGAGAAAGAGAGATTCTTGATAATCGAGAGAGGAATAGACCTAATTTTTTTTGAATTTTAGGGCTTTTTGATTTTGAGAAAAATTGGTTGTGGTAATGGAGACAGATAGTATGGAGTGCGTCTCGTCTACGGGGAATGAGATCCATCAGAACGGTAATGGCCACCAATCTTACCAATTCTCTTCGACGAAGACTCACGGCGGTGCCGCAGCGGCCGCCGTCGTTACAAATATTGTCGGTCCGACGGCAACTGCTCCGGCCACTAGCGTATATGAGCTTCTGGAGTGCCCTGTCTGTACCTATTCTATGTATCCTCCTATCCATCAGGTGAATCTCCCATGCTCTTTTTGTTTGTTTGATTCATTATGTTTTTGGATCGGATTGTGATTTTGCTGCACAATTGATTCATGTTTGAGTGTTTTGGTCTCATACTTTGCACCTGTTGATACGTTTTAGCTTTATGTGTTTGTCTTCTTCTCTGCGTATATGTTGTGTAGCGTTTAATGGGATATAGATGATATAATGTGGTTGTATCCTATAACTGAGCCAGTGCAAGTTATTGATCTGAAAAGTGTGTCTCTTTTATCTTCTTCTTGTTGTTGCAGTGTCATAATGGACACACATTGTGCTCGACCTGTAAAGTGAGGGTGCATAACCGGTGTCCCACGTGTAGACAAGAACTTGGAGATATTAGATGTTTAGCTCTTGAGAAAGTAGCCGAGTCCCTTGAGCTGCCTTGCAAGTATTACAATCTCGGATGCCCTGAGATATTTCCTTATTACAGCAAACTGAAGCACGAGTCTCTCTGTAACTTCAGACCTTACAGTTGTCCTTATGCTGGTTCCGAGTGTGGTATCGTAGGGGATATCCCTTTTCTTGTAGCCCATCTCAGGGATGATCACAAAGTTGACATGCACGCTGGTTCCACTTTTAACCACCGCTATGTCAAATCAAACCCGCGTGAAGTAGAGAACGCAACTTGGATGCTAACCGTGAGCATATCCTTCTTTGTCTAGGAAAACATGGTTCTCTTAAATGTTTTCGACATAAAACCTGACAGCTTCGTCTTCTGTTTCTTATCTGGGTTCAGGTCTTCCATTGCTTTGGGCAATACTTCTGCCTCCATTTCGAGGCATTCCAGCTCGGGATGGGTCCGGTATACATGGCATTCCTGAGATTCATGGGAGACGAGGAAGACGCACGGAGCTACAGCTACAGCTTAGAAGTGGGAGGCAGTGGAAGGAAGCTAACATGGGAAGGAACCCCAAGAAGCATCAGAGATAGCCACAGGAAAGTAAGAGACAGCAACGACGGTCTCATCATCCAAAGAAACATGGCTCTCTTCTTCTCAGGCGGAGACAGGAAAGAGCTTAAACTTAGAGTCACTGGTAAAATCTGGAAAGAGCAACACAGTCCAGATTCTGGGCTTTCCATACCAAACCTATCATCTTCCTGATCCTTCATTCTTTTCTTCTTCTTTGTTTTTTTCTCTCTTTGAGAAGGAATGTTGTATGATGATTCGTTTGCACTCTTTTTCTTTGTCTGTATCTAAAACATATCATGAATGAATGTTTGATCCGATAGTCTCATGTGGGTAAAACTTGGATCGGTGTTCAGGTGCTCAAATCTTTAGATTCATTACATACATGGATATTGGAGATCTGATGAGGTGAAAAAATGTGATTACGCATGAAATAAACATAACACACGTAAGTAATTCAATATAATTCAACACTGTGATTAACATAATTCAATATGAAAAATACTTGGGTTCACCCTCTTTCACCCCTAGGGGTGAACTTTTTTATTCACCCTCTTTCAGTCAATTAGAATCTGCCACTTAATAACAATAAAAAATTTCATTTAATTATAAAATCTAACTTGTCACTAAAACGAAATTATGTATCGGTTTGAGTTTATTAGAAAGGGTTAGAGTTTAGATTTTATGATTAAACGAAGTTAAATGTCGGTTTGGGTTTAGAAAATATGATTAGGGTTTAGTTTTTTTACAATTAAACAAGTTTAAATGTCGGTTTAGGTTTACAAAGGAGAATTAGGGTTTAGATTTTGTAATTAAACGAGGTTATTTATCGGTTTGGGTATATAAAAGAATGGTTTGGGATTAGATTTAATAATTAATTGAATTTTTTTTATTATGTGGCGAATTCTGATTGGTTACAATAAAATGAGTGAATAAAAGGATTCACCCCTAGGAGTGAACCCAAGTATTGCTCATTCAATATCCAAATGTATAATACTAGGCAGAAAACCAAATATGTAAAAAATCTAGTTAATATTATACAAGTTGTTGTCAATCGACAAATTATTAGGAGGATTGTCAATCAATATTTTTTCAGTGTTCAAAAATTAAATTGATATCAAATTAATAAATATTAAAGATAAGGTCAAATATGATGTAATTCAATTCATGTAAAGTTTTAAAGATTCCTGTAAGATCTCTTAACAAGGTTTTCAACAAATCTTGTAAAAATATATTAAATGAAATATGAAAACAAATCATAAGCTTTATTTTCTTCTTGTACAAACAAATTCTTAAGCTTTTAAAATCAATTTAATTGTCCTAAATTGTATAATGTTCTAATCTAATGTTAGTGAATTGCAATTATTCATAATATTAACTTAAATGATAAATAGGAAAAAACCTGAAATAAGGAAACTTTAAGGAAAAGGAAAAACCTTAGAAATTAGGATTCGGGAGGGAATTAAAGGAAAAGGCCCAAAACAAATTGAAAAAGGGTTTTAACTGTTTCTTCTAGAACTTTCCTTTTTAGCCTTTGTGGCTTTCCCTATAAATTCCCAATCTTTGGCCATTGACGATCAAAGAAACTCATTCTGATTTCTAATCTCTAACGAGCAAAGAACCCTGTAGCTTATAAACCAATGGCGATTATCTCTGAGATGGAGGAGGCGAGACCCTCGATGGTGCCGTTTAGTGCAAGTTTCGATCCTTCAAACCCAATAGGGTTTTTGGAGAAAGTCCTTGACGTTATCGGGAAAGAGAGCAACTTTCTGAGGAAAGAAACGGCTGAGAAGGAGATCGTGGCTGCTGTTAGGGCTGCAAAAGAGAGGTTGAGGGAAGCCGAGAAGAAGAAGTTGGAGAAGGAGAATGTTAAGCCGACGGAGCCCATGGAGGTTGAGAAGGCAAAGAAGGATAGCTTGAAGGCCACGGGGGCCATGGAGGTGGAGAAGGCGACGGATCCCATGGAGGTTGAGAAGCCCAAGGAGGAAAAAGAATCTGGTCCCATCGGTAAGTCCTTCTTTTTCCTTTTTTTGAATATGGAAATTGGTATGTCTTTTGGTGAACACTTTTTTAGGGTTATGTTTCCTTAGTGGTAATTGGATCTTCATTGATGCATGTGGAATCAGTTTTGTTTTCTCAGTCGTCTTGGATTAATCTTTAGTTATGTTTATTATGTTTGATTCAATATGCTATGATCGATGAGTTAGGTTATTGCAATCAGTTTGCCTTCCCACTTAGTTCTTAGTTTCTCCCATCACTAGTTCTGGAATTTGATTCTTGTGTAAAAGATTCAACAACTTTAGTCTCTCTTATTGCAAAACTAACTTCATGTCTGTTTCCTGCAGTTCCTAACAAAGGCAATGGGCTTGATTTTGAGAAATACTCATGGGGACAGAATCTTCAAGAGGTCACAATTAACATTCCAGTGCCAGAAGGCACTAAATCAAGATCTGTTACCTGTGAAATCAAGAAGAACCGTCTGAAAGTTGGTCTCAAAGGGCAAGATCTAATCATCGATGGAGAATTCTTCACTTCTGTCAAGCCTGACGACTGCTTCTGGAATATCGAGGATCAAAAGATGATATCAGTGCTCTTGACAAAGCAAGACCAGATGGAGTGGTGGAAATATTGTGTGAAGGGAGAACCTGAAATAGACACTCAGAAAGTTGAACCAGAGAGCAGCAAATTGGGTGATCTCGACCCTGAAACTCGCGCATCCGTTGAGAAGATGATGGTAAGTTAATCGGTTTCTTTATCTTCTTGATGATTTCTTTGTGTTAGATTTTATTTTGCAAGAATTGTGTTGTGACACAGTTTCTTTTTTTTCCCTTTTGTTCCGCAGTTTGATCAAAGGCAAAAGCAGATGGGACTCCCAACAAGTGATGAGATAGAGAAGAAAGATATGCTCAAGAAGTTCATGGCTCAGAATCCTGGGATGGACTTCTCTAACGCAATGTTTAAATGATGATCTTTATTCAACTCTTAAGCCA